ATCCTTTGGGTTTATTTACTCTAAAATAAAACCTTTGAGGGGTAATTAATTTTCTTTTTATTTTTAGGAAATTAATCCGTAATCTTTTTAAAACTAAATATCTTTATTTATACGCTGAAAATTCCAAAATTAACAACTCTTGGTTAGATAATTTGAATAACATTTCGTAATATTTAATAACAATTCATTTTTTTAAGGATGTAATAATTATTTTTTTTTACTAAAAGTAAGCAACAACCGTAAGGATAACTGAATTGGTGCAATATGTGTTATTCCATAAGGGAGTTTAAGGATCAATTTTCTCTCAACACCTTCTTAGTCTGTCACAAGTCACAACAAGCTCACCTAAAACAATTTATATATTAGTTTGCGACCTGATCGAAGAATTTCCAAATCAAATGGTCGTAAATTTATTAAGTAATTTTTTTCACGTAGTCTTTTCATCCCAAAGGACAAAAGTACAAAAAGAGTAAAAGGAGACAATTTTATGGATGGTGACTTTGGAGGATACAGACAAAATTGTTTGATCATCATACTCATTATTTATGCATGGAAAGAGAAGGACACACCACATAACCCCTTACCACAATTGGAATGGTTATTTTCTTCTTTTCCCTTAATTTGAAGAACATTATTTGACAAAGCATATTGGGGGTTTATTCCAGTATCAAATGTCACTAATTAGAACTATTGATGTGACTTTTAAACTAATTTAGTCGCATTTTGCATGACATTTTGAGCAAGAAGAATTCAAACAAAAAATTAATTATATTGGCTTTCATATTCACATAAAGTCAAGAGCCTTTCTTGTCTAGGAACTGCTATTGGTTGATTGTCATTTCCTATAGTCCTTTTCACAAGAAAGATTTTTACATTATTCAACATGGATTTTTTTTACTGTATAAAAATACTAACCTCACCAATTGAATTATCGTTTTGAAATTTGCAAACTTATCATTGAGGTATTTGTCAATTTGAATGGTGTGCCGTTTAGAGCTGAACAAACAAATGAATGTCGATTTTCATGATGGTACGAAACAAAATAACAGTAGAAGTATAACAGATGTCAATTTCTCTGAGAGTTCAAAAAAAGAAAAAGATTAACCTCATACTATAATTCATCTATACATGATTTTATGTAATAGTTGAACTCTTTTTGTTCATTTTTTTTTAAAAAAAAAAATCACTGCAGTGACATAATAATGACTTGAGGATTCGAAAAACATTATAGCAATTTGATTTCTAAAGTTTAGCCCACAATTAGCTGAGGATTCCACTATTAGACATGAATGCATGAAGCTGATTAGACTGTTATATTTTACTAGCTTCACTTGCCCTTTATCAAACAATTTAATAACCTGAAAATATAAGACAGGTAAAAGGTAAACACTCAAATTCTTTAGCCAATCCAGTAGCACAAACTTCTAGGGGCAAAACGCATCAGCAAAATGGATATTGCTGTTTTAGAGTCAAATCAAGCTTTACTGAAATGAAACGGAAAGAAACAAAAAACGTAAAACAACCTTATTGTTGAGAAGGAAATCAGACCAAGCTCATGTTCTGAACAATCAATCGTACTTCACTTTATTAATCAACAAAAATTAACTGCCATAACAGACCAAGAACATGGGAGGGAGAAGCCTGCACTTCTACATGTATACTGCATAAGTTAAAGCTGATAATAACAGATGACAAATTTCTAGTTTTACTTAAGAAAAGTACATTTAAGACAATAATTGCAAAAATAAAAGATAAATCATCAAGTTTCAACGGCCTTGCTAGAGAACAAGTTCAGCAACTATTCGCTATAATACTTAAAGGAGCTACCCAATAAGCTTCTAGTGTGACAAGGTGATGCTGCTTACTGTTACTTGTAACAGTTGAAGTGTTTGTGTGTGTGTGGGGGGGTGGGGGGGGGGGGGGGGTTGTGTTTGTGTGTGTGG